AAGGAAAGGAAAGGAAAGGAAAGGAAAAAGTTTTAGTCTAAATTTAAAGATTTAAGTTACTAAAGAACTAACTTTAATGCTGTTTAGAATCTCACATATCCTTTCCTTAAGAAGTTGTTGAAACACGGATTTGGCCCCCAAAACTACACATCGTAATTAGTTGCCATGGTGACCTCAACAGAGGTATAGATACTTTGCTACCAGCAAATCATGTTTTCATAAAACCGTCACGGGTTAGGGGCAAACCTTGAGTTATAGTTTTGGATTAATAAAATAGTGAAGAGACGTGGAAATAGAAGGGGAGAAAAGAAAACTTAAAAAACCAAAAAAAAACCCCCAAAAAAACGCAAAAAACAATGTTCAATGCATAATTTCTCAGTTTAAGCCACAGGATGATGGTGGTTGGAGATCATCTACTCAAAGATCAGCCTTGGACAAAGAAGAATGACCAAGAGCTGTTTGCCCAGGGCTGTCTTCGGTCATGCTTTGAGCATCTCCAAGGATGGAGGATCCACCACCTCTGGGTTGGGGTTCATCAACGTACCTTCAGGTACTCCTGCACGACTTGCTCAGGGGTATCTCCCAAGAAGACGTAAAAATCAAGAATTCCACCGATTGTTCTGTAAGTGGCAGCTGGCGCTGGCTGCAGGGCGAATTCTGCGAGCAAAAAAAATACACAGAATTGATTTGGGATATTACCTAAATCTCAAATAACTGTGATGGCAAAACAAAAGAGATACAAATTGTTTGGGAGAAAAATATCGACCAAAAATATTCAAGGAAACCCAAACCCAGTATTGGAGCTTGCAACAATTCTCAGCTCTTTTTAAAATTTTTTAATTTTTTTTTTAAATATCCATATTTACATTCCTTTACAGTCCAGAAAGAAAAGAGAAATCCAATGGCACAACTTCTTCTCCTGAAATTTTCGGTCTCGAGTCGCTTGACTATGTGTTAAGCGCCCAACTACGTACATAATTATCTAAAGGAAATTCAGGGCATATATTTCCGAGTGCCGCTCAGTCTAAATTCAGACTCAGATTCCACTATCTTGGACTGAAATGTCCCTGAACATCAATAAAAATGCGCACGAGGCGTATGACACGGGTCTGGCAATGCAACCTTAGCGCCGCTTGTATGGGAAACACGAGTAAACGCTTGAAAAAATGGCTGCAGCCACAGATTATAAGCCAACTTTCTTCAAGATTTGTCTTTTTTTTTTTTCAAAATCTACATCAGCTCAGCAGGTTCACAGTGCAGTAGCCCTGCAGATCATTTAAAATATATATATATATAGTGCAATACTTATGGAGAAGGCATTCTTACCCATGGCATTCCAGATGATTTAAATAACGTATTTACATTTTTTGCAGTACTTATGGAGAAGACATCCTTACCCATGGCGTTGCTATTCATCAAGAAAACACCAAAAGAGGCTCCAGTGGTGTCTTCCAAACACAAGAAGAAAGTCTGAACACCATACAAGTTATCCGTGTTCTTAAAGGAAAAGAGAAAAGCTCATTTAAAAAAAAAATAAAAATACAGTGACAATACACGCCCTGCGGTATCTCAACAATATATCACACGTGAGGTTAAACTTCTCAAAAGGAAAAAAGACGGCAAAAATAAAATTACCAACACTAACCTCGGGGGGTTTTGGTTTGGTTTTTTTTTATTTCTCTCTTTTACGGGAATGTCTTTAAGTTGCTAGAATCTGTTGAAAGCACAAATTTGGGGAAACCAACCTTCAGTGGAGCCGTTTGGATGAGAACCTCCACATACTTATTATTTAAAAGATGAAGATGATAAATTTTATCTCTAGTAGGGATGGAAAGAAAATCAAGGAGACCTTTTCTACACTAAGTTTTGTTGATAGCGAGGAAAATTCCACTTTCCAGTTCAAAAATCAAAATACATCTATCGGCCCACAGAAGATTTGTCTAAACTTTGAAAGATTTTTTTTTTCTTTTTTTTCTTCTAAAACGTTAATTAACTGCAAACATCGAGCTGCTCCCTGAATCCCGTGCACATCACTCCTATTTCAGCAAAAGATTTCAGGACTTACTCCGAATTCCACATAAGGATCGGTGCTGCATTAAACAATCTCTGTTTAACACTCATTTAATTATTATCTCAAATCATGAAAAACAATTTTAAACTGAGTTTGAGATGCTAGACTTATAAATAAGCTGGTTTAGAGACTCAAATCGAGTGTAAAAATATTCTTATTATGCCTTCTCCTAGGTTCTACATTACTTTTCTTGCTCCCTAGCATTGATTAGACACGGTGCTGCATTAAACAATCTCTGTTTAACACTCATTTAATTATTATCTCAAATCATGAAAAACAATTTTAAACTGAGTTTGAGATGCTAGACTTATAAATAAGCTGGTTTAGAGACTCAAATCGAGTGTAAAAATATTCTTATTATGCCTTCTCCTAGGTTCTACATTACTTTTCTTGCTCCCTAGCATTGATTAGACACCAGAAATTTAATATTTTTTTTTTCAATATTACCCTGTCAAGTGCTCGCACACTCTACCAAATATTTCCTTTTTCTCATCAAAAATCTATGAGTAAGCACAGCAATAAGGTTTGGCTTTCTATTTTCCCCAAAAGCACCCCCACCCCCCCCCACA